ATGCATATAGCTGTATATATATTTATAGACAGTCCTGCCAGTTAGTTCTGTTGATGAAGCAATTTAAAGGGCTGAGAAATGAGTAACATTATTTCGGCACTGGGCTCAGATTAGAAAAACCTTTGTATGTTAAGGCTTGGTTAAATTAAGCTTAAATAGAGATAATGAGCCTTCTGCTACTGTGCTGGTGCTGTACTCTGAGACACAGTGCCAAACCTTCCACGGAGCCTTCAGGAGCCGTGCTGGTCAGTGCCGTTACCTCCGGGGCATTATACCACATTTACCACGTGGCTCTCCGTTAGCTGCTGCGCACCTTCAGGCCACAATATAAGCGTTCCTCACGTGGCTTTTCCTAACATTGTCACTACCTGCTTGCTTTCTGGAAGGCTGTATGGTTTCTAAGCTACCTGCCCAGGGGCCAAGACAGCTGCTTTAATCTATGTTTTGATCACCCTCTCCCAACCACTTTGCTCTTGCCCCCAATACCCTCCTTCACACACACTTGCCTAAATTGATCATTTAACCTGGAACTGAAAGATCAGGTCATGTGCTCTGGTTTGGCTTTAGCCTTGGTAATGACTATACAAGGCCATCTCTCAGTAGATAGATTACATAGAGCACAGAGCTGGGTGTCAGGTAATGTTCCCAGCCCTGCTGTTGACATACTGTGACACATCAGGCAAGATCCAGGTCCCCTCTGTACTTGTTTTCCCCTTGTTATCTTTTTGACTGCAAGCTCTTGGATCACAGTCTTTACTAATGCTTTTTTTTTCTTTATACCAACATAAAGAGGTTCTGATAGCAGCTGAAAACTCTGCACAGGCACATGACAAAATAACAATTGCGCTTCAACATACTAGCCAGTTTGGGGATCAGGATCTGATCGCTGCTCGTGCCATCTCCACCGTCAGTTGTTGCTTTTACTTCTATAATGTAATCTTCATTAAACTGGAGCAGAAGTTCCGCTGTTGTCTTGTCTGTGTTCAGCACGTTCATATTATTCTGACTGCTAGTCCTGTAGAAAACCTACAATGCAAGCAAAGAGCATTTTTTGCAATGCTGTAGAGCATTATTTCTTCCACAAGGACCGTGCAATTTTTAATGTTTCTTGGAAACAAGATTTCAATTTCTAAAAACTGGAAGAGGGAAAAGATCTAATTTCTGGTTGATATCATAGGGCAGGATTACATTCGGAATCTAGAGTAGCAGTGAAAGAAGGGAGTATCAATCAAGCGCTTTTTTTTCCAACTTTAATCTAAAATGGCACAGCACATAGTGATAACAAATGATTAATATAGTCTGTTGAATAACTTAAGAACATATTCTTGTATAAACTATCCCACCATTTGGAATCTGTCATTATCTAGATCGACTGCTTATGAGAATACATAGTAAGGGAAAGGCAGATGAGAACTAGTCAAAAACACAGAAATTAGGGCCTCTGTTAGAAGACTTTCTGCAAACTGAATAATTATTCTGTCACAAAACTTGATTGCATCTGAGGTTCTGTGTTTTGAACAATGGGAGCTATATCTAAATGTTATAGCCCTTCTACTCGAATATGATCAGGCAAGAGGAGGGCTTGAAGAGCAACACGCAGCCTCCCTTGTGTTCTGAAGGCTAGATTTAGCCAGAATGGCCCCTTAGTGCAACAAGTGACTAGGAAGAGCTGTGTGACCTGGTGGAGGGTTGAAGTATTTGTGGATCCGGTGCACTCACCTTGCAGAGTTTCATATGAGGTTGCGAGTGTTCCAGTGCAGTGTAAAACAAAAACAAAACAAAACAAAACAAAAAAACCCCCAAACAATCCAGACTCCCCCAAAATAATAGCAATCGTAACAGAGAGAAAAAAATGCAAGACCACTGGAATTGCATATACAATGACTGGTCACCCAACTTAAGAGCTTCACCTTGAATTCACCTTTCTATCAAAGTTACAGCAGCCTTGCTGAATCTTTCCAGCTTTGCATGCAACACACTCCTGCACTCAGTGCGCTCCTGTTCCCAGTGCCAATCCCTAATGCTATACTTTGTTAAAAAGCTCTCAAAAGAGCAACAACTATATGGCTTACTTCCACAATGACTGTGCTACGGCAGCTCTGGCGTTCTCGAAAATCATTTGTGGGCTATTCGCTGCTTGACAAACCAAGTTTTGTTAACTGCACTGCCCTCGTATTCTGTGATTAAAATGACACTCTAAGTGCTTTACTGCTGTAAGATTAACCAGTGTTATCACAGTTCAGCTTTTCATTATGTATTTAGCAATGCTATCATTTGGGAAACCTGAAAACGCTGTGGGAGACAGAGTATGCAATTTGAAACGAGACATGGTATGTTTTTAGTTCAACTACCCTCTATGAAACTAGGTGGCTTATCTAGGCTGTAAACATGTATTTCTTGCCAGTATTACCCTGAACACTGCACAGGCTGATCTTCAGCATCAATCTTTTATACAGGAGTATGTTATATGGGATCCAGCTATATGCAGATCATCAAGAACCTCCTCAGCGGTTCTTTAAAACATACGTAAGAAAGATAGCTGTATGGCATACATCGAGAAATACTTGCATGTTTGTGCATCGATCTGCTTTAGAATAGAGATAATGTAATTTCCATCAAGACAATGAGCATGGGGGTAATGGGAGGGGGAAAAAAAAAAAAAAAAAAAAAGACAGTATGTATCAGGCTGGTATGTGGTAACAATGGCTATACTGGGCCAGCAGTGGAAATGATTTCCACCAGCTGAGTTTTGGATTATTTTTGTTTCATTCCAAATGTTATACGTTTGGATACCTGGGATCCCAAGAGCTGACAGCAAAGGCTGCAGCTCCTGGCGTCATTTGCATAAGGCAAGGGAGATGTTTAGTGCAGCATTAATAATGGCAAAAGGACCACAGGTGTGTGTTGTTTTTTTTTTTTTTTTTGGAGCCATTGTTACAATCCCGTTTAAACCTATAAAACGAGACGCTACTGAAAATCCTATAAAAGGAGACGCTACTGAAATGTTTTAGGCACAGTATTGGTCATCCTTTAATCCCGACATGGGGAAACAAACAAAAGTCCTGCAGGTGTTTTTAACTAACTGCTAAACCCATTGCCTTGTAAATAGACAAGAAAGTGTCCACTAACGCATGCTGTTTTACTTTCAGATATTCTGCTGGTCTGTTCTTTCTTACCTTATATCCAGTTACCGCTGATTCATTCTCCATAGCTCGTACTTCCTCCCAGTTGAGAATTACTCTGGAGTCTGTAACGTTCCATATAACATTTCCCGGTGGTTGACTGGGTGCTTAAAATACATAATAAAAGCATGACTTTAGTTTAATTGGCATTAGTGATTTATTCTGCAGTAGGAAATAATAGTTCAGGTAATTGGCTGCCATCACATGTCAGATGCAAAAGCAACTCAAATACAGCATTGTCATTTGTACACTTCATGGTTCAGAGACTAAATTGGAAAAAAACAAAAGGAAGGAAAAATAGAATGGCACATACATGTTATTTCTGAAGTTGCATTATGTGCTGATGGGCCTTCATTAAATACAGCCAAACAAAAGTCTTCGGCCATGGGTGCTCATTTAGAACACACTCTAATGAAACCAGTGATGATAACAGACAAATTGCTGTTATTTTTCATATAGTGTCACCAATGGGCAAATATTTCACTACAAATTATTTGTCAGATACATTTAGTATTTTCTTAGTGAATATTCAAACCTAGATGCTACTCTGATTTACTTTAATGTGTGTGTTATGCAAAAATATTTGACAGGGTTTTATTTTTCTTCTTTTTAACGCCAGACATGATTTTGAAATGCAGTCCGTGCCATTACAGTAAGTGCAATTGGAACAATAGTGGGTTTTGGGTAGGTAAAGCTCTTACTATTACGTTCGTTAACAAGCTGAGATGGTTTAATTTCAAAAGGAGTAGTGTGCTTTTGGCCGTCCACCTTAATACATCTTGGAACTGCCAAGCTTTCAGGAAAGGAGAAGATGGGTACAAACCTCGTAACACGGCGCAAGTTGGTTTCCCAGATGGGTCATTCAGAGAGACAATCAACTATCACACTCTTCTAAACATGTTAAGGAAAACAATTTACTGTTGCTGTCACCTAGTGGAGGCAGTCGTTTCCTAGGTGGACCACTCTAAGCTTTGATGCTGAAGGGTCCACTATTAATCACTAACAGGGGCTTTTAAACAGTTCTATGCATGTGCTCTTTTTTTTTTTGTTTTTGTTTCTTTGTTTTCTAAGAACGAACGCTTCCACACAGGTAGCTCCTTAATTTATTTCCATGAGCAGTCAGATCAGGAAAAACCTGATTGTACATTTTGACACAAAGTGGACACACACCAAAAAAAAAAAAAAGCAAGTGCAAGACTTAAAAGAATTATTCTAAACTGGTCACACATCTTTTTTTGCAGTATTTGCCTTGTTCTATATACTAAACAGGATTTAGCCTGATGTACTAAGAGTCAATTTCTGTAAATGTAAGAGGTGACCGTCAGATAAAATCATTTTATTCATGAAACCTGAATAGTATATGAGCATATATGACTAGTCTTCATTCAGCTATCAAGGCTGAGTTTGAGAAGAAAAGACTCATTCTTTTAAATCTACAGCAATTTATTAATATTAATCTGAAAAAAAGGAAGAGTAATTATATTTAAAAACTGTAAGCCTCTATTTACCACTTTGACTGACTTACACAAGTGATTCAGAAGGCTCCAGTTTGCTCCAGTTACCAAAAATCCCCAGCAATTTTCAGTGATCAAAACAGCAGAACTTAATTCACAAAAGACCAGATCCCAAACCATCAAGCTGCTTAGGTACATGTCCCATGCTAAGTATGCAAATAGCTACAGTAATTTCACTGAGCCTACTCAGATGCTTGAAGAAGTCACTCATACACACTAATGTTTCTCTGCATGAAACCTAGGGCCAGAACACATTGTTGAATTGTAAGATCTCCTAACTAGTAAGTAATCGTATCATCTCGCTTGATAAACGTAGGCAAGACCTCCATAGTTATTTGCAGTTATATATAGCAAAACATTGTATAAAATAAAACTATGCTTGTGATTGATTGTGGGTTATAAACGTGAATATTTTCAAATATAAAAGCAAAGATCCTTTAATGGTCAAACACAAAGACTGCACGTTCAGTCCTGAAACAAACAGGCTGCAAATGGAACTTAAGTATATGTTTCTTGTTAGGGTAATAGCTACTAATGAGTATCTTGTAGAATGTGTGGGCAAATGTAAATGTAATATGCACAGAATTCCTTCACAGTGAGAAATAGATCAATCAATCACAAGTATTCAGGTGGAAGTTAAAGTAGAAATTAGAACTGATTAAAATTCATACCTTTGAATGAAAATTTAGCTCTCCCCCCCCTTTCTTTTCCATTTTGAAAATTTTCTGATCAGTTCTCAAAAGAAAACAAGGAATAAAAGGTAGGACGTGTCTTCACCTAAGAGGCATGTCTCTTGAGTAGAAAGGTGAAAGTAACTCAAACTTAACCAAAGTCCAGTTTGGAAAAAAAGAAAAAAAAGTTTCCTTTATAGATAATTAGATCTCATTTTTGACTTGAAAAGTTAAGTTCTAATTTGTGTTTCTACTACAGTGGTGCAGATAATTATTTGCCTTAATTAATTAATCTAGGTGTTCGCAAAATTCTTCAAAATGTCATTATGTTGTACTGCAGTTATATATTTTTTTTTTTTTCTTTTTAATGATTCCAGGAAGCAGAGGAATTGATTAACGGCCTGATCCAGATTCTGTTCAACTCGGTGAGATCAGGTGCTTGTTCAGCTCTAGTTTACATATGTGAAGCAGGCGGTCACTAATCAGGACTGCAGAATTACTGGATTGACCAGGCCGTCAATCTTGTGCGAGTGGCCACACTGATGATTACTTCAAGAACACTATTCATCAAAGGTCAGATACAGGTTGCAGACAGTAAGTTACTTCATGTCCACCAATTCATGGTAACTGTATGTCTATAAAAAAAAAAAAAGTAACCTCTAGCAAATGTAAGTAAGTTAATCTGAGTTGGTTTAGTCCTCAGTGACACTTGTTTCTGCATATACACATTTCTGATAAACTGTCTTATTTCATAGTACTGGTGGTAGGACTACTTTTGGTAGGAGAGAATTTGACCTTTGGTACCAGGGAATGTGACCTGGCATACAGACTTAATTGTGCAGTCTTGTGAGTCTGACAGAAATGCTTCAAGATTTATGACCCTTATTCTGAGTTGCAGTACAATGCAAGCGCATACTAAAAATATTTCCATTTGTAGAAATTAGTGCAGCCTTTCAGAATCTGTTCTCCAGCTTAATTTCTCCTTTTTAATAGCAAAGTGGCCTCTTGAGTAATTTGTTCAAGGGGAAACAATGGACATGAATGATTACTTTGCATGAAGTATGAGGAACATTCCACTTCAAGCCCTAGAGAACGTATAAATATGTTATAGAACCCTGAAAAATTCAGCAAGTCGCTGTTTTTCCTCCCAAATAACAGAAATCTTTCTTCTAATAAGAGAAAAAGCACACCTGACACTTAAAAAAAAAAGTCTCCCAATCACTGAAGAGTACTGAAGGTTCTATGCAGAAATGAGATATCTTACTTCAGATCCACTGGTGTATTTGAATTTTGCTTCTCATCCTGCTAAAGTAGCAGAGGGTAGAAAATAGAAGATCTGAGCTTGACTTTTAATTGTGTAACTGTTCTAGTCTGCAGGAAAATTTAGGTCATTTATGCACATTATGACTCCTGGTAGTATGCCTGTTTTTCATGTGCCTGCAAGTGCTAAAACACCATTACGGCTCTCCCCACTTTAAATTCATGATACTTACGTGTCTTTTTTGTGGTAGCATTTACTGTGGCACTAAAGGGACCTGCTCCAGCACTGTTATAAGCACGGACAGCTGTGTAGTATGCTAAGTTGCTCTTCAAACCTGTTATTCTTATTGATGTCTCATTGCCTACAGCTTTTACTCTGTTTGAAGTGTCTTCTTTTCCACCGTTATTCCAGTACCTAACCTGGTAGATATAAAACACAACTATTTAAAATTCTTTTGCAACGGAGCGTTCACCCACAGTATTGCATTTAACTCCTTTAAGTGTATTTTTTTTCCTCAGCCGAAAAAGGTAGAAATACATTAAAGTTTCAGAAATATGTATACTACATAAATAACATTCCTTTCTATCTGCTGCTTGCTCTTTGTGTGAGTTTAGAAAAAAGGAAACTGGAATATTAGCTGCTGGTTGAATTTAAAAAAAATGACAATGAGAGGAAAAACATTACTTCCTCTACAAAGAAAACAAGTTAAACTCAGTAGAAGAATACTGCATCTTAGAAAATAATTTCTTTGGAAGTAAATGTAATTCTGAAAAAAAGATCTGTCTGAAAATACTATTAGGTATAGCCATGACTATCATCACAGGAAGCAAAACACAATTTCATTCTGCGTTCCTCTTCATTGTCAAAGATGGAAGAAAATATCCGTTTTTGTGGATGAAGGTGGGCCAGAAGGAAAGCAAGAAAGGTGGTAGCAGTATTTCTACAGTCCAGTAATACAGCCGTTTGTTTTGATTTTCACGTGTTTTTATGAAAAAAACAATATTTTTAAACAGAATCTCAGTTTTTAAACAGAATTTCACTCTTTGAACAGTGGCAGAGTTGGAAGAATTCTGGGAAAGTGTGTCGAAACTGGCTGCATCTCATGGATCCTGCAAATAATGTTTGCTGTGTGCTTTGCTATCCCCAAAATAGTTCTGCCCAAAGCACTAAATGCTGACACCAACTTTGAGATAAAGCGGCTAAAATTTTCTCTTTAACAGAGGAACATGCTATAATAAGCAACAGGTGTTGCAGATACTAAGGCAAGTAGGCAGAGCATCAGGCCATGACAGCATGACAGTCTGAGGCTCCTGTTGGGAGTTTTAGCAAGAAGCTGATGATGCTCCAAGCAAAACAGGCTGTGCATGGTGGGGTCTGTCGCAGAACAGTATTACGTTATGCTGCTTACTTCCAGCCTGCATATAGCAAACGCAGTGTCAGGTCTTCATGTATGTGTTCCTCAGCTTAGCTGTTCCAAAAAGTGATTCAGAAACGATGTAGGCCTAATGCCCTGTAGGCTGCTCTTGTTAGCCCGCTAATTCCCTGGCTTCTCACCTTCCCTCTCAGGTTTTGTGGTGTCACCTGAGGATTTAATTTCAAAAAGGACCACTTTCAGAGGGATGTGGGTTATCTGACATGAAAATTATGCAAGTGAAAATCATTACAGGTCATGGTCCTTTACAACAGGGAGTGCATTTTAAATGGGTTTACCTCATAACCCAGTAACCTTCCACTGCTCATCTTCCACGGAATGGCATTCCAGGAAACTTCAATGACTGAGGATGACAGACTGGTTGCAGATACACCAGAGGGTGCTATGGTGGGCTCTGAATTTGGAGATCAATAAATGAGAGATCAGTAGCACTGCTGACTTTTGAAATAAATATGCTCCTATTTAAAATGATCTGATTGCTATTAACAGTTGCTGTAGTCTCACGTGAAAAAGCTCATGTTAAATACTTGGAGAGAACGCAGTCACGTACCTTCTTCAGCTGAAAAAACTGTGGTGACTGAACTGAACGGCCCTTCTCCTTTATTGTTATATACACCAACTTTGACTTCATATGGTGAAAAGGGTAAGATGCTTTCATTTCTAAAGACGTATCTTGGTGTATCAGGAGACGTGACTACGGTCTGGATCCATGTTGTGGTGCCAAAGGGACGGAAAGCAACAACATATCCAAAGCCTTCTCCATTTTGTAATTCTTCAGGAATAGGCTGTGCGTAAAGCAACAGATGACAGTAGTCTGTAATGTTATATACAGTATGGGGACAGAAAGAAAGTACCAAAAGGCTTACATACTTGAGTGTAAACAGGTTCTGGCACATCATTTGGGATCATGCCATCAACAACTTAACTCTGGTACAGTATAGCAAAATGTGTTCTCTTCATCCTACCTTTAAGGTTTGCATGGTACACGTGCCTTCATTAAGAAGAGAATAATTTTCAGGTCTATTGCCCGTTTTCCAGCAAGTATACTGGTTTAAGACATGCTTCAGTAAACACTTTTCTTTTTCGATTTCCGGTCACAATTTGTAGTTCAGAAAAAATTAATGATCGCTTAGTCAATTGTTGTAGACTCCAACACTACCTTAGCACAGTGGCTTACATTGTCCTCTGATGTGATTGTAGTTATGTAAGCACACAGAGTAGTCACGCTAGTAATAATATGTTAACATTTTTAAACTCATTAGAAATGGGACACATACCATAAAGTAATATCTGATTCTTTGTGCTTGCTAGCACGAGTCCAGAGTTAACAGTAAAAAAAATAGAAACGGCAAAGTTTCATTGAACAGCATACTTTGTCTCAACCTTTGAACAATAACGCTTCCATTTCCCCAGCCCTCCCCCCCCCTTTTTAGCTTAACAGTTGCCTGAGAATAGAAGCAATTTAGACAGACTAAGTAAATTTCCTACTGATTGCAGTCTGGCACAGAAACAAATGAAAGTGAAAGAGGGAAGGCAAACATGCGTAGCTCACGTTACAGAATGTTACCGAGCACATATACATCCTAGATGAGAAGCTGCTGCAGCCAGGGAAATTCATCTTTTAAGAAGAGTTTGAATGAAAACTATCATTCTCTGAAGAAAATTGCTTGCCAGAAAACTTACATCCCATGTTATGACCAGTTCAGACCTGCTGCCTCCTCCCCCACTGACTTCAGATGGGGGAATTTCAGGAACTGTGAAAGAGAAATGTATAGCTGTCTACACAGTGCAGATAAAAGAGACACCATTATATAACATCAGCCTCATGCTCTGAAGCGAACCCAGTTGTACTGCTGCACGTGTGCACTTACACATTCTGTACATCAAGGCAGATGGGCCGGGGAAGCCCATGCCCCTTGCTGCATTCAGCTTCCTAGTTTGCCTCGCTGTGGTAGGCAGACGGCCTTCTGCAAGCTTGTGGAATGTCACAAGCTCATAAATTGAACCCTGTTTGTTACATATATCTATAGAGAGAGAGAGAGAGAGAGTAATGTCCTTATCCCAGGTACCTATGGGGGGGGGCTTTAACCGATGTGGTCTTCTGGGACACACGCTTGTTACATGGAAGGCGAACGCTGATCAAACACTAGGAAGGAATAAACCCCTTGTCAAAGTTAACCCCTCTCCATCCATTGACATCTTCAGACTCTACGCTGCTGACTGAACTGAATGATTGATTTTTTTTGGCACACTAAATAATACAGTTTAAATGTATTTTAGGTGTTATGCTTGCGTGACCTGTGCAGTAACGCAACATAAACTGTTCCACGGGGCCTTGGGAAAATCATGAACACATTAGGTACAGGTGTTTATATTTGATGGCAATTCCAAGTTTGTTTGCAAAGACCCATGGATTTGAACACTGTATACATAGTTTTAATTAAGATTCTTGAATTAAAAACAAATAAGAAAACCCACTAACCTGCCTCTTCAGTTCTTACTTTTTCTGAGGGTAAACTAGGTTCTCCACCTCCAATTTTGTTACTGGCAACTACACGAAATTCATAGTCAACCCAAGGATTCAAATCCACTACTGTGGTTGTAAGTGTTTTTCCATCAATTACATCAGGAACTATTAGAAAAAAAAAAAGGGAGGGAAGGAGAGAAAACTAAGAGCGTGCTCTCCCTGGTTAAAACCATTTAAAAGAACAAGTATTCTGTTTTACCTGTTGTGACTCTCTGCCAGCCCACTGAAAAAGGTGTTCTTGCTTGTATGGTATAAGCGGTTACTGGGCTGTGGTTATCTATGCCTTCTTGCCAGGAGATCTGAGCAGTGGTATCCGTTATTTCATCCACTTTGACATGCTCAGGGGGCCCAGGTGAGCCTAGAATCAGATTGAAAAATAGGTGGTGGGGTTTTGTAAGGGTAGGACCCTGGAAATCACTAACATATAGCACCATGGATTCCCATGTTATCAGCACTGTGGGAGGAAGAAACCCATTCAGCTTGGCATAAGAACATTTTAAAATTATTGGTTTACATTCACCGAACTTAAGTCTGATAAACTAATTATCAAACAGTAATTCTGAACTGCGACAGATGACAGACTGTTTTTTCCCCAAGGACTTCTGTTCAGCATGATTCCGCTATGTTTCCAAATTCAATCTCTTTTACTTTAGTCCTAATGGCTTCTTTTAATCTACTAATACATCATCTCTGTAGTCTGCCAATTTGTTATCTAGAGCAGCTTTACTCTATGATGCACTGTAGCACTTTTTCAGCCCAACATCTGATCAGCACCCTGAACAGCGATTCTGTCAGGCGCTCGAGCTTTCTGCAGCATTCCGGAAAATCCTGATTCTGTGCAGCCTAGCAAAAATGCTGGCTTTGTATCTGTACCAGTGAAGGGGTGAACTCCTTAACAGTTCATTAAAATGTCCAAATAGCAGAGTGTTATCAGGCAGCATTATACAGCAAAACATCATATCCATAATACATAAACTATATTATCCAAAAATATATTTGGCATAATTTAAAATATATTGAATAAATGCGGATTGCATAATATTCTTTACTGGATTAGATTACAGCTTTTCTCTTGCAATACATTTAGCTGTATGATTAGCAATGAAAGCTACCGTTCAGGCGTACCAGCTCTAATTCCAGTTCTGAAGAAAAATAAATATCCCTGCATTACGTAACTTAAACTCAAACGCATCTCTAGGACAAAGGCTTTCCTAAGCACCGGCAGCAGTTGCCCATTTCACAGGAAGGATATTGGATCATGGAGTCAGAAAACCCTTTATTTAGCAGAGGCAGCAATTCATAACTGTCTCTCAGAAGCTGCCAGTAGTGAGTTCCCTCTCATCAGTGACTTGAGGAACGGCCAATGGAAAAAGGTGTGAAGTCAAGCTTCGTTAGATTCTTCATCTCTCCTTTTCTCTGGGAGAAAGTAAGCTTCAGCCACACATGCAGAAAAAAGGTGCTAAAATTCTCCCTAATTGCATGGCAGAATCACATCGTTCAAGTCATTGATGAATTGGCTTTGTAATCTAGAACATCAGTTGTTTCTGTAATCTACAATATACAAAACTTACTTAGAAAATATGATTCACATACATAACTGAAGCTGAAATTTACCTCGTACTATAAGGTCTGCTGCAGATGATACACTATCCACTTCTGTCTTCACCGTACAAACGTATTTTCCACTATGCTTCAGCTGGATGTTTCTAATCATTAAATCGCCTGATGCACTCTGTCAAGATACAAAGTTCTTATTGATTCAAACGTTCCATCTTGTAATTTAATGTTGAGTTCATATTTTATAGATGGAAAAGAAGTCAACCAAAATAAACTGAAGACAAAAAGTTGCTCAAAAAATTACATTGGCACCCAGATTGCAGGATAACAAGTTGTTATAGCGCGTGCTCCATGGTAATTGTAAGCATGTTCCTACTATACAGGATGCAGTGGCTCTTTTTTTCCCCCTTTTTAACACGGGAGGTAAGCTGTAACATGGTTATCTCATACTAGGAATATACCTACTGACTGTTACTATGCAATGTGAAAAAAGTCGGTACCCTGTGACAAACTGTCTCAAAGGCCTAAGAAAGAGACAATGTGGTTACTATGGCTGTGAACCAATTTGTCGTCTAAACAGAATTTGTAAAGTCTAGCTCTTACAGACCTTTAAAGAAAGAGTTCGAGTGTGTAAATGACAAAGCTGAATTTAGTCTGTTCTACAGTTTACAAACAAAAAGCATAAACAAAAGCATAAAATAACCTTTTCTTGGTTCTACACTGAGTATTTCATCTTCAGTAATATTTTTCTGTGTTTTTTTCTTAAGTCATAGCATGTGTTTGGTATTCTCCCGAATCAAAGTAAACGTACATATAACTTGAGGGATAATTGTAATTTAATAATACACAGGAAATGTCAGGTCTCTATATCTCATTTGTTTTCTACAGCACTCTAATGGAGAACTTGATCCTAGACCTTCGGTAGCCTATGTCACTTCAAATCTCTTCTTTGCGTCAGTTGAATAGTAACCGCTTTGACACAGTTCATATCACATTTTCAAGGCGAAGAACCTCTCAATCAGATTTTAATCTGAGTTACATTGGGAAAGTAGAGTTGGTGGTCTGATACCCACAGGACTATGGTAGTGGATTTATATTCATACACTCAGCAAAATCTTGGTTGCTTTGGCTCAGCCTGAATATACCTGGGTATCCCGCTACTTGAGCAAAAGTTTTAAATAGATCATCTGTGGTACGCTTTGTTGGCAGAAACGTTCTCTTTGCAAAGTCAGCATCACCTAAAGGAGACCTAAAGGAGTTTGCTGGGAACTGCTACCATCCAGCATGGTGCTGGAGTGGTCATCTTCTGTGTTTCTGGTCCCTCTTATTCACTAAAATAGTGAATAGTTCAGAGAAGGATCACCTCCTTTATGACATTACTTATTTTTTATTGACATTGCTGGTAGGGAACAGAGTCAATTCAGTCTAGCAAGACTTCCCAAACAACTCTCTAGCTTTCGACCACCTGCTCATTCTTTCTATTTCATGATCCAGTCTACTTCAGGCTGTTTTTCTGCACACCTGGGAAGACTTGTCCTTTACTGAAAACCTCCACTTTCCAGGCATGTTGCAAAGTTCATTTTCTGGAGAAGGAGGGATTCTAGCTATTTAGTGGACATTTTCAGCTACCCTGGGCACATGACTGATTCTTTGACACACAGCAGTTTGGGAGAAGAGGAAAGAAACGGCTCTGGGATTTTAGTCTTACTTTAAAAACAACAACAACAACAAAACCCCACAATCTTTCAAACTCTTTGGTTATTTATGTTCACATCCATTATTCTGTTTTGATCCTTATATTTCAAGAATCTTTTTTTTTTTTTTCCCCACAGAGCTTGCCATTATTTCAAATAAATCTGTAACACAAAATGCAAACAAGCTCTGCCATTTTGTCACAAACTTACTGTAGAGCTTTAGTCTAGTCCACTGATGTCAAGGGGAGGTTTGACATTTATAGTTAAAATTGTAGGACCAGCATTGCCATGTCCCACTTCTTCATTCAGTACAAGCTTAAAACAATTCTGACTGCTTCCCTTCCACGTGTGACAATATGAATACAGTGCCTTCTATTACAATGTAGATGCCAGCGTTTACAGGACAACCCAGCACTGATAGCCTGCTCTACATTAAAAGTTAAGTTAAAGGCAATCTAAAATCTAGCTGTTTGCTTGGAAGCGGACATGCAACAAATGATCAACAGCCACAATGTATACTCGTAGGCAAATCACGTTCTACAGAAACTTATTCCAGCAAACTACATTTAAAGCATCTAGACAATAGGGGATTGTGAAGTAGAATAATTTTACTTGAAATTGAAACCTGCCTCCCCTTGGCATGACAAGTTTAAATGGGCCAGACCACAACCTCCTTAATGAAGGAAACACTGTTATAGGGTTCGTTCTAATATTCGTTATGTAACATTAACAAAATATTTGGCCGCTGAAATAGTAACGCTGCACTCAAATTTTTCTTGGCTATTTTGAGGAAGAATTCCAAAGTACTGGGGAAAATACAGAAACCTGCAGCAGCAAAAAGCTACAATGCAGAAGACGCTCTCACCTCTCATTGTTCTGCAGACCATTACAGTATCCACATTTTTGCCTAGCCAGATTAAACTTTGCCAGTGTGGACAAGTCCAGGTGACGGTAAGGTCACCTTCTGTTCTCCATGCTACACAGAATTCAAATAAAGAGCTGTCCATGTAGTTTGAACATCTGCAACTGGTACTGAAGTTGCTTTTACCTTTCCTGACTTCATAACAATTCCAACCATTGCTGAGCTGCCTAAACAGGTGATACTAGAAACAGTTGAGGGCCAATCCGTTCAGAATTTTGGAGATTGCTTGATTTGCCATACTCTTCATATAAGTTATCTGTCTTAAAAAAAAAAAGCGCACTTAAACAGTGTTACATCCTGGATTTTTGTAACCATATGGAAGACCAGGTGGTGGTCCCATAACATTCCCACTAACTACTACATGTTGGAGGCCTCAAGGCATGCTACGTTCTTTAAGACCGTGACAGGAACTCCCAAGCCTTCATTACATAGTCCTCATCTCAAAGAGGCAACCCATCCATTGTAAAGTTATTTTCCTTTTTCCATGTTTACCACTAACAAAGCTGAAGGGATTTTTGCATAGATATTTCCCTTGAGCAAATATGCACTGCAGCTATTGGAAGATTTATAAAATATTTATGCTGTCTTCTTTACTTACCATGACTCTCACTTCCAGATGAAATCATTCCATTAACCTAAAAGGGATCCAGAGAAAGCCTACAAAATATTTTGTGCATCTCTTGGCAATCTATGAAGTTTTCTACAAACGGGCTTCAATCCCCTTTCTACACAAACAGGAGTTTTAAAAAAAAAAAACCAAACTTATATTTCCCATAAGAATCCTTACCTCTGTTTCTTATGACAGATTTCCAAGTAAATTATTCTAGTTTCAGCATTCTGAATTAGTCAATAATATTCACCCTGGAACATTATTCAGGATTAGCTGAGAATTTTCTGTGAAAACTTTTTTGTTTGTTTTATGAAAAAGCAGAAATTTTTAGTGAGGAAAAAAGTTAACTTTCCAGTCAGCTTATAAATCCTTAATTGAGTGAACAGTATTGTCAGATTTAGTTTGTTGAATATTTTTAACCTTTCCTTTCTAAAATTATTATTTGTATACACAACTAGACTGCAGCTGGTACTTTGGGGAAGTATTACTAAGTAAATAAAGTCCTTCTTACTGGAAGGTAACAGGCTATGAAATCAGAGCATTCCCATTACATCATGACAGATGGTCAGTTCATAATTCTAGAAAGATTTATATGAAAATGTACATGATATATGAATAGCTTATTGCTCTTACAAGGAAATCTCCTCATCTTTGCATGCACTTGCGTTTAATCAAATGCCACATGTAAAACAATCTGTGCATTTGATGCCTACTGATTAAATGTTAAATATTTTGAGATTTTACAGGCAAAAAAAATTGTAGCTAGGTGCTGAAATTTCACAGGCAGTACTTTCTAACCCGCAGCTATTCCTTCAGAAGGGAGATCTGGCAAGATTATGAGACAGAACTTCGCCAGGACTTTCAAAGGCCAGAGTTACATGCTGATGCTCAGCTGTTTTATTACTTGGCTGTGTCTTGCACTGTAGTAACGCTTTTTACTGTAATTCATTTCATTTGCTTGCAACACCTTACTACATCCTTCTTAACCTTTTACTTTTTATATTTTGGTTAAAGAGCTAAACTATAAAAAGCATCAATTTCATCCATCTCCTCCCCTGCCACATCTCTACATCCTAAACATGTAATGTGATATATGGCTCGTTCACCTAGGGAGACTCAAACAGAACGCTGAGGGATTCATTAGGGATACGATCCAGGAAAAATAAGGCAAACTGTGATTTCGTTTTTGGTATTAGACTGTAGCCCATGAAATCTGAATCATGTTCCTTGATCTGTCAACATATTTTATGTGATCTTGGGAAAATCACATAGGGCCAGATGCAGAAACAGAGGCTGGCACTTAAAATCAGGTCTGAAGTCTAGATGGCTGTACAATGGATTATTTGCAGCACCTAGCTCAGTTATGATTTGTTTCCAACACGGAAGAAAATGCTACAGCCCAAAAAGGGAATAATATCCTATTTTTGCCCTGTATTGTAAAAAGAAAAAAAGGTAAGCCTGCATCTGCCTCATACATGGGTAAGAAGGTAATTTCAACTTACCCCCCCAACCTTCTCAAAATGAGAAGCATCTTTTTTGAAGTCAGTGAGCGTTCCATTAAAATACCAGGTGAAGGTAATGTCTAGTATTGGGTCATGCTGGACTTGACAAGGCAAGACGACACTTTCTCCAACAGTGACATCCATGTTTGAAGGTGCCAAAGTAATCCTTGTTGGCTCTGTTGAGAACAGAAATATCAGCTAATGGATTTCTTTATTACTGGTCTTTCCTTGCCACTAACATGCTACCACAGTCTTCAGACCTGATTAATGAGAGTCACTTCAAATTAGGCAGCTGGACTATAAATGTTACTGCCTGAGCTCTCTTGTTGGAGCGCTGTATCCTTACATATTTAGCAGTGGGAACTTCTTGAAACAGAGAAAGTAGATTTTAACTTGCAGTGTACAGGTCAATATACTTTACAGAGCTACATGCACTGCAATCCACAACAACAAAATTACCCTTCAGAAGTGTATGTGGTTCTCAGCAATAACGCTGGTGTTTTGGAACAGGAATCTGTAGTTGCAGGTGCTGGAACACTGAGAGGTGACAGTGGGGGAAAAAAACTTACAATATGTAGAGGAAATCCACACGGGGTAGAACGCATTGGATTTTTGGGTCCATATATTATATAGAAAATAAATAATATCATTAAGAATAGCTGCTTGTTCCTCCAGAATCACACTAATATATATAAAAAATCCAAGGAATGTAAATGTTGTTAAATAGAATCTTCTTGTATAATTTCTTTGTATATAAATTCTATTATTTGTATAAAAAGAGAATGAATCATTTAACAGGACAAGCTGAAAATATGAAGTTGTTAATTCATAAAACAAAATAATTCTGTCTGGGTCTATGAGAAATACAGACTGTGTAATGCAGTAATATATTATATAACTCTGGATTTGGAAAATCTTTCAGACATTCCAATCTTTAAAAAAAAAAATCTCACGAGAAAAGACCGTCTTCAGCTAAACATTGTAGACCACTTGTCCTTTTAATCCAGTCTCTTAGACAGCCGCTAATGATGGACGAATTACAGGAAGAGGCAAGAACCCCTTTAAAAACAGTTATGTGTAAAAGTCACTTTTGAAAGATTTTATATTTTTACAGCTTGTGGAGTACCTGAAGGATCCTGCAGCTGGAGTTCCTTCCACATTGACTCAAATACTTTTCTGGATTGCCATGAATTACCTTTTTTTTCCCCCCCAAATAAAAAAATAGTTAAAAAGAATAATTGCATTATTTAGTGTTTAGTAAGTGAGAGAGGGGAGGAGAGTGTTCAAAACCTCCTGATCTGAGATCCCAGGGCCAAGGAGCATCTTTGTCAAAGAGAGAAATTCCCTCAGTCTCTCTTCTCCCAAATGATCAGAGATCAGTAACTCATATCCTTTTATTTTTATATATTCTTAAATATATAGCCTCTCAGACCCTTTACTTTCCAACACATTCAGGATTTCAGAGAGCAAACTCAGAATTCACATCGTTGCAGACTTCTGTTGCAGAGTTTGTAATTCAGTTTAAATAATCTTACCAACAACTCTCCTTTCCGGCTCACCTGTAACTATTAAGTTTGTTGTGCCACTAGCTGTTCCAAACTGGTTTGCTGCCAGGCAAGTGTAGCTTCCAGCATCGACTTTAGTCACATTAGCTATTCTTAGTCTTCCATCATTTAATAACATGATTCTAAAAAATTACAAAGAGATTTTTAAAGTTGTAGCACTGGTTTGTAGTAGACATGTTTCAGTATTTGTTCTGTTACACTAGGTAGAACAAACTGCACCAGTTACCAACCTGATGTTTTAAAATTTTGCTGCCACGCACTGATACGCAACAAAGTTGAACCCATGCTTGTATTATTCATTATTTTGGACACCAGCAAAGCCAACATTTACGATACGTGTGTGTGCATATGTATGTATGTTTTTGTGTGTGTGTGTGTGTGAGTGTGTGAGAGAGAAAACAGGAATCATATGTTAACTCTTTTTCAGCTGCACCAATTGAAACTAGAATAATTTCCAACCGTATTGTGCTGTTTGCTTTACAGAGTCTGGCATGGCGACTTTGAAATAACCGTGTATCATCAATACATGTTTAACAAGCAATCCACATTTTACACTTTTGAGGATTCATATATACAAGTTTAGCATATATTTCATATGAGTCAATACCTCATTTGCACCAGTGACGTCTGCAGAGTAGCATTTAGCCCAAGCAAACATGAGCTACTTGCTGACGTCCGAAAGCTTAACTTTGCACGTTGTACTTCCCCCACCCCTCTCCCAGAAATCTAGGTTTGGACAGATATTTAATCTTGGCCCATTTTGTTGCCAACATCAAAAATATTCAAGCTTTGTTGTAGAATTACCTTATTTATTGATATAAGGTTCATGTGGATTAATGTAACAGCTACAAGCTTTAGACAAAAAACACCTCTTAAACGATTACAGGATATCATCTCCTACATACCAGTACACAAGATGTGTTGTCATGTCCACTCTATGAAAATAAGATATAAATCTGTCATCTCTCTCGGCTACAAAGGCTGGCCTCTTATAATTTCAAACAAGAGATAAAATAAAAACGGACTGGGAAGAATGGAAGCATGGCGAAGAGAAGTGAGGATTTTTCATAGCTATACGGCTATACCGCTTGTAAAGTCCAGCAAAAATTTCAGGGAAGTGCAACTAGCACTGGCATAGTGAAAGATGGCAGGATCGCAGCTGGGTCCTAGAATTGCCATGACACTATTCTCCTCAGCCATATTACTACGGTGGCTATGTGGCGGCTGGAGACTGTGGTCATTCAAAGGTATGAGGAAAGAAATCCCATCTGTAAGGACAGAGGCAGGGAAGAGGCTAATTAGAAAGTCCTTCCCCAGAGAGCTTTAAGTAAGTGTGGTTTTACCTTCCATTGAAATGAAAATAATGAATGCCTTAGTTTATCACCTACACTATCTATGAGTGACCTCTGGACAGAGTAGAGATATGCTCTACGGAAGAACCTGAAGGAAAAGATTTCCTCTACTCCAAATAAGCCCAGCTAGAGAGAATCACGACTAATGGCATATAACATAAAAGAAAACAGAAAGAAGAGATGTAGACAAAAGGAGACTGGCATTAGTGATGCAGAGAGAAGAGCACCAGCTTCCTAATAGAGAGGACATTCTAGACAGCATCTTTGAAGGGATTTAAAGGTAAAGGCTAGTTTGTTTCCCTCTTTCCCCATCCCTAATCCTTCCATCTGTCATATCCTTAGATACAGGACCATCTACCAAGTCTTCCCTAAGATAACCTGCAGCACCTATATAACTAAACTATATACAAGAATTTTCAGAATAATTAGCAAAAAACCAAGCAACATCTTCCTGTTACCCCTCGGTCAAAAGAGCTTGTCTTAGATCGCCTCAGTCCATTTCAAAAGGCACCAAATGAATCACCGAGAGGGTATTTCTGTCATTTCCCCAAGCATCTTAGCTAGAAGGCATTCTGGAAATGCCCCAAACACCCTATATCTAACTAAACAGAATTAACACAACAATAAACAACATTAGTACTCCAGGTGAACTTCTAACCGTATTAGTTGTAGAGTCTTACGCGATTGTCAGAGTAACTATCACCTGGGAAGAAGGCAAATGTCATGAAACTTAACGTTGCTATCTTCCCTTTCTCAGAGGAGTCATGTAGATTTTGCCTTCTTAGGTGCATATATTTCATTATTAACATGCTTCTTTATTCAGTACAAAATTAATTAAATATACACTCCTGCTGTTCTTTTAATTTTTAATATACTTCAGGCAAATTAGTATCAACAGATCTCCATAATTTGTCTCACCTGACGATTCAGTTCTCTGTGGTTAAATACTTACTGCAAAAAGTAGATTAAGAAGTCTGCTATGTTAGGTGGCAATTGGTGGGATCACTGCCTTTCTTCTCAAAACTACTCTCAAGCATGGGATAGGCAGGATGTTTATCCGACAAAACGTGTTCTTTGTTCTTCTGTCATTCACGTACTGTAGCTAGTATCTCAGCGTGAACAGTTCTTTGCATGAAACTCTGCACGTGTTTTGGTAGACGAGAAAGGATAATGCAAGCTCGAAACTGCAGCAATGGCTGCAGGGCAAGACCGTAAAGGCCTTCTGGACTCAAGGCAGGCATAGCTAAGACATACCTTTTGAATGCACTACCTTAGATTCAATTGCATTGTGGAAACAAAAGTTAGCCCTTAAAAGGTATATGCTTCAGTAAACTGCACTGTCCTTAATTATTTATAATGATTTATATTACAAATAATACAGCGTTATGGAGGCAACATGTTTGAATCCATTTTCAGGGAGTAATTACGATGGTGAACGAGAGCAGCAGAATGCAACGTTAAGAGTTTGATGGCTTCGGTGGTCTTATCCTTCACCCCCTAACTTCTCTGATTCTGCAAAACCATCTTCACTAACCACACACTATGCTTGTGGGACTCCGTCATGGCTCTATTGTTGTGCTGCTCCTTTTCCTTAATAGAAAGTTTACCTAATCCTCAAGGCCAAACAGAAGCTGTATTCTAAACATCCGACAGTAGGAGCCTGGATTTCTTCCACAGTTGCATCGATATTACACAGCTCTGTACTATGAAACATACTCTGAAATTAAGCACAACGTTTTTTCAAAATATTTTTAGGCCTTTTCCATCGCACTTTATATATTCTTTAAAAAGTGTATTATAATTGCATTATATACCAATATTGTAGCCGAGTTACATTTCCTTCAGGTAAAGATGATAAAGTAATGAAACTAACTGATGCTTGTTACAAGAAATAACAAGTCAACTTGTTAGAATGACAGAGAAAAGTATCTTATTTGGAGGCGAAAAGAGTTACCATAGATATACAGTTTGCAGACATTCGTATTTTAATCTTCAAAGGCGTACTGGGATACGTAAACCAGTGTGGCAACATTTGATGCAAACTTGCAAGGAGGATACACTTCACCAGTGTTGGAAAGGCTGGCACCCCAAGGCTTACCTTGTTTTAGAAAATTGAGTAATATTTGGCTGTGCTTTATATTTGATAGAACATTTCTAATGAATTAAAGAGTACTATATGCTTTATAGGTATTTTAAGCATGTTACAGACATGAGTAATACATTTTATAGGTAAATAAAACCACATCAATAAAAGGTGTTAAAACATTATCAATTATGGTTGCAAGCAAGCTATTGAGTTGTTGGGCTGTCCAGCTACCTATATATTCTCCCAGGGCTTTTATTACAGCATCTACTTTGAGGCAGCTTCCCAGTAGAAAAAACGCAAAAATAAATAAAAACCCAGCAGTGCTGACAAAGCTTTAGATCAAACAAAGGATAAAATAGATCAAGGTATAGAACAGAAAATGTCTGTTGTTTAATTAAAATACATGACATTTAGAGCGCTCTGAGCTACTTGCAAGTCTAGCTCATCTGAAATAACGAACCAGGAGGCTTATTAAAACCAAGATATAGTTAAGAATCAAGGGATTTTTTTCAGAATTAGAAAAACAACAAATCAATTCTAGAAAAATTGTATTGTCAAAATAAAATCTTTACTGGTAAATTAAAAAGAGCAACTCTATTTTTTCCCCCTTTACAAAGGCAGCAAATGCAGCTCAGCTTATGGAAACTCTAAACCCAGAAATAGTTCTACCCCTTCCTGTTGAAGCAATGAGACAAGCTGAAGCTTTTAGTATACTTAGAATTATTAGACATTCACACACTGTGATAAAACAAGTATACTCTGGCTGGCTGCTGCCAGGAAGTGGTCTCAATTTCCTGTGCAGAAAAATGAGACACCTTTTAATGTTTCCTGCATCCACGATATTTTTTTCAATACAGTTCGCTAAAGGCTGGCAATTTCAAACTGAATTCCATTTTCAGCTGCCTGCAGGCTTCTGGTGCACTGGGCAAACGGCAGAAACTTCTAGCCCTTTAAAACAGAGACAACTGGCTGAATAATGCTTTGGCCCCTATGCATTACCACAACTGGAGACTGATTTGTGACCTTTACCTGGTCATCAGATCATAGTTTTCAAAACATTACTGATAAAAACAAAATACTCATCTAGCTTGTGAGCAAAATTGTGAGAAAGGGACCTTTGAGAAGAATCTGTTTTCCAATAATCAAAGTAACGACACAGCAAATACCTAGGACGGCCAAATGTATTAACTTATGCTCATGCTCGTCGTCTTTGAAGATTAACCAGTCTCAGAACTTCAGGAGTCCTTATTTGAGCTGCCCAGTTTGGCAAAACTACGGGAGATTGCCTGTCTCACCTATGCTAGAAATAGGTAGTTGGCATTACAAATCTCCCAGACAGTTGAGAGACTTCAGCGGAGCTGCAGTCTCCATTAACACTGCCCACTATGTTAGTTGTGTCTGGATTCATAGGATCAACATTAATTATCAGTTACCTTAGTTATAACTGTCCATGCAGAAATCCAACTGTATTTCAAAAAATGGTGAATTATTTTACTATAGTTACATCCTGTAACATATTTTCATATATACATATTTAGACAAAAATATCACCTGGGATTAGAAGGCAAATGATGCTCCAGCCAATCCAAGATCCTTTGCTGACCTCAGTGCCTGCAGCATAGGGATATTCAAGCTATTCTAGATTCACTGTCCCTGTACTAGTACCGGACAATTTGGCTTGCTT